CATGGAGGTGAGACGCGTTAAATTAATTCCAAGCCCTTTGTTGCTTCCTCTTCAGGGAATCAAACGTTAGTTTGCTCTTGCCTCCAGGTTAACCATGCCGAAAGTCCACGTGAGTTCGGTGGTAGGTTCTTGAGTAAAAGTGTTTGAAGAAAATGGACACGAAAAATTCAACTTTGCAGGATTTTTACTTTATGAGTGTTTTTTAACACTGAAACAACCAAAGTCATGTATACAAGGCTTCTTATCCATGGCAGACATTGGGTGTTGCAAGTGTCCAAGCTGTCTGTTACATGAACTTTTTCAATTTGGTGGTACGAGTCGCAAGGAAGAGCAAGTTCCTGCACTTGGTATTTGTGGTCTTGGTGAAAAATGTACCGTCGTTATGTATCTCTTTCTTTCCCATGTAAGGTGATTCATTAGTTATCGAAGCCTCCAACCGTTACCCATAAGAGTTTCTTTGTAACGCTGAACTGTCATTAGATGTGGCGTGCCACATCCCATTGTTGGCTCAGTTCGAAAATTGGTACCATGTGTGTGTTTCACTAACTTTTGACAAATGTACGATATTTGGTACCACAGAAAGAAGACATTGTTCTAAATCACATTATATCCAAAAGGTAAGAGGAAAGTGAAAAGGTTCGGAAAAAGTGACTTTAATCGTGCACACTCGCGGTTACCATAATTTTGGCCTACTCCTGAAGAAAGAAGAATCAGTTCTGAAAAATCACTGGAAGGAAAACGAGCTTTCGTCTCCCTTCCCCCAACAAACCTTTCTACTCGTGATGCACTTCCAGGGTTTTGGATTTTGGGAGAGGGTGGAGGGGGGAGGTGGTTAGTGTATTGGGTTGATCTAGGTCCAACGACGTGCCACACAACACCAGTACTTGGTCAATTGTTCTTTCTTCAGAGAGACGTGCTTTTGTAATTCTAGAGAACGTGGTGTTGTGGACCATGCCAGGTAGCTGTAAAAGGTTTCAATTCTCGCCACGCTGGAACTGAGGGTTGAGTTCACCTTTTACAACTACCTTGCATGGTTCAGTGGGCTCAAGGTTGTATGAAAAAAGCGAAATAGAGGACAGGGAGGAACAAATTTCATTTGAGTGAGTAGAAGCACTTCATGGAAGCACAGCAGGAACATGACTATACGTCCCGCGCCCGCATGGGGTGAAGTGCGTTGATTAGGGGGTCGCGTTTGGAGGAGAGGGGTAGTGTTTCTAAAGATAAATTGAAAAACCAGATCACGGAGCAATTTCAGAGCAATCAGCAAAAAGTTTGGAATTCTTGAGACTGCAACAATTATAGCACATGAACTTTCCTCGCTCGAAGGTCAGAAGTGGAGTAGGGCTGGGAGAAGAGAATTTGGGGGAGATTCGGGCTCAGGATGAACTTCTAACATACTAGGGATCCCAACAGTCGGCGGGCAAGGGTGTTGTTGGTGACTAGTACCAGTTTGAAATTTTTATAAACATAGCGGTTGATCCCATCATATTTGTGAAGTCAGCCCGCGCTATGGCCCTGCGCTACCTTAGCCATACCTTCAAGAATACTGTCAGTGATGCCGAATTTGGTCTCTTTCAACGAGTGCAACAAAGCAATGGCAGCAATAACAACAACAACAACAACAAGCACTTTTTGCTCGTTTGTCGTATTTTGAAGGTTCTTTGAAGTGTGCCTTTCTGACGAGTTTGCGCCTACGGTATAGGCCCTAATAACTAGCCCAAAAAAGGGTAGTGATGACACTCGTAGAGCAGACTAAGCGCTGATTCAGAGAGATTGAAGGCAACCAATCAACAGAACTTTCAAAGTAATTGAATGACACGATCATCAGAGATTTGTTCTGACTGATGTTTGAGTACATACTGATTCATTTCGAGCTAAAAATTGATGTTGCTTCCCTTTTCAGTATTTACACTGAGTCATCGCCAGAATCGATTCGAGAGCGATTTATCGGCATGTGGTTTCAGGGAAAAAATGGCACACCTATCTTATGCCTTGTGGTGAAGTTCCGTTTAAAAAGCATGAAAGCATCGGTGGTTTTGAATTGGTTTTTGCTGATTCCACGGCTCTTGAAATTCCTCTGGCAGTTCATTGCCTCATTGAAAACTCGTTTTTGCAAGTGTTGCAATTGTTTTCGAGTTGTTGGCTTTCGACAGCTCCAAAAGTTCTCCAGTTAACGCGAACATGGAGTCTCCCCGTTTCATTGCTTCTTTGCCTTATCTTCTGTCTCTTCTATCGAATGGGTCAAGCATGATCGTGAAAGAAGGCTAGGAGGCTGAAAGGCTCGAACATATTCGAGTGTGTCAAGACGGTGAGAGGTGGTGCTATTGGCGAGACCAGCTTGCATGAATTTTTTTTTTTTCTGGTGTTTCAAGGTCTCAGATTTTTTTCCGCGAAAATAGTTCTGATTCTATCAATTCCACCTATCCGAGGAATTTTTGGAGTCCGAGGATAACGAAAAAGTTAAGATGGTGCTTCAAAATTTCAGAGGAACCTCTCCCTGGCATTATGAGGAGCTTTTGGTAAACCCAACGGTATAACATGTATGTATTGTTCTCGACAGCGTACCCTATCTACTCTAATTTATTATTTTTGTTTTTTTTTCGTCCACAGAAATGTTGTTCTTTCGAACGACACCTTGAGTATAAGCCTCGAGAAACGTTTCTTTGCCGTGCCAATTGTGGATGCTGTGGCCATTCACAAAGCAACTAAGGCATGAGGCGTCGTCCGATCACGGCCAAATGTTTGAACTATGATGCCTTATCGCCGTAGCAATTCCCTTGCACACCCATCGGCCACTGAGTCACTCGGCAAATGTTTTCGAAACTCTGGTCGGTCGCCGGGGTTATTTATACGTGTGTGGCTGATGTTTATAATTTTTAACCGCGTAAACACTGTCCCCCTGTCAAAAATTTTCTGGTCTTTGAATGCGTTTTATCATTTTTTTGCATAGGCTATATCAGTATTCAAGTTTCTTTCTCTCTATTCATAGACATAAACTGGAAGTTTTTCAAAATATTCGAAAAAAGCTGGGAAGCAGCAGGTCAGAAGAGCGTTCTCGATAAACACTGGATCAGTTTCTCTAATTATTGATGCTGAAAATTTTGAAATTGCAATCATTAATAAAAGGATAAAAGGATAAAGCATTTGCCGTTGATCAATCCCTTTTTGGGATGCGGCACGCATTCTACTTCCATTTGTACATTCGTAGTGGCGTTTGAATGCGATGTGGCCTATACAATGACTTGCGGGGGCCAGCCGATGTACAAGTCAGTGTTTTTATCCTCCCAGACAAGTCTGGTACCAATTAACCGACCCCGGAGGGATGGAAGGCTTGGTTGGCCCGGGCGACTCACGACCCAGGATTTGATCCCCGGACCGCTCGCGTGGTAAGCGCGCCACTTGTCACTACACCACTTCCGCCCCAACTTCGCTGTATAACTTATATAATTTATGCTAGACGAAGTTCATTCGGACAGGGGGAGAGGTGGTGGTGGGTCAGTGGCTTTGCAGAATATACTATTTTCCATGAACAAGAGCCATTCATTCAATTCAACGATTCTGATACGCGCACACTAGTGCCTGGCGCATTTCAGCATTACCTGTGCTTCTACCGAATTTGCAGTCCATATTTTCTACGTTCTGCAATCACTATGACATTCAACAAAGGGGGTGGGGCATAGTAAACTTCTGTGATGAATGATTACGTTGGTGTGTGTTGGAGTGTGCGCACGCTATTGACCATGACATAACACTTCTGATCTTTACCGAAATTAGAAAAGACGTAATTTGTTGAACGGGTTCCTTGTTAAGGCACACTTGGCACTTGTTCACTGCTAAAGTAGCCGATGTCGCAGTCAAAGGGTGCCTATACGGAAGTGGAGCGTCCCTTTCCATAGTGTGTGTTGCACTTTCTAATCTACCCGCTCAAGCACAGGCATGGTGAATGAGCTGCGATCCAGAGAATGCAAAAATATAGTGAGATGGTTAAGATCAGAAATTCCCTTATGGTTACTGAAATTTGCTGATATTTAGGTTCTCCAATTTTTTTCTTGTTTTTTTCTTCTCTGCTTTCCCTCGTGTTATCATTTATGCACGATTTTTTGTATCAAACAAACCTTTCTGTATACATGTTTGTAAGCTACACAACCTATTGAAGTTGTCAAATGTGCGCTTATTGGGTTGTTTTTAAGAGGTCCATTCCCCGCTGCGATTTTTTTGAGTGATCACATTATCGCGTTTTGTGGCTGCATCGGTGATCATACCAATAGCTCGCTGAGATAAGGGTAGTTCTTCAACCAGTACACAAGTGATTGGTCGCTTACACTTAGTTTATTGTATACCTGTAACTTTGGGAAGTAAATACCGTACGGCAAAAACTTCCCAAAGTTGTTGGGTCCCTCAGGTGTGCGCCGTCACTGAAATTCCACCTAGAAATTATTTAGAATGATAGGAGTGTTTTGGCGATCATGATTTTTGATCACATTCCACAGTCAGCGAGTACTGCGTCCAATCCCATAGATAGTTTTGTCCTACTGAATGAAGGTATAAGTTAACTTTGATACATCGCTTGTGTGTCTTTGAGACAAGATCATATGCTCCTTTTTCTGATCTCCATTTCCACTTCGTCAGTGGAACTTTTGTGAACGCTTCATGCCTGACTGTGGATACCACTGACTTTTTTTATTTTCTCAAAAATATTCAGAGTATCGAAGTTATAGCAGGACCGGGTATTCTCGGCGTTGAATTCTGACTTGGAAGCCTATGTTGAGCCTGAAAATGGCGGACGTTTCACTATTTTTTTTTGAATGTCGAGCTATTGCACTTGAGTTAATACTGTAGCGGATGTTTGAATTTCTCTTTTTATTCTTTTTGTTCGTGATTTTTTTACTTGAAGCATTTTCAGAGAATAATGACCGATTTTGCACTGGATCTATTGAAACTAACGCCAGTGGAGCAGAGTATGGTGATGTCACCGCTGTCCCTGGTGGCTGCACTATCCGTGCTCGAGAGTGGCGCTGGTGGTACGACTAAGAATCAAATCGCTGAAGCTTTGAAGAGAAGTAAGAATCTGTTCTTTTAAGGCATGCCCCAGGATCACATTGGTGTGGCTCTTGCACACGAATGCGAATGTATTGGTGCGAAATGGGCCGGCAGTAAAGAAAAAAGGAAAAGAATCCGTCGAAAACGCTTAGGTTAAGGGCTCACTCACCTTCCTAATCGGCTGTGCTAAGTGAGATGAGAGACTATGCGCGGAGAGGAGAGTATGAGGCGAGAGAGCGCCAGACAACAGCCTGATAAGAGAAAAAAATCTGCAGCTTCAGCAGCTTACTTTGCAAGGCCCAAGCGCTCTTGTCGGTTGGTTTCCGTGCACGGGAACGCCACATTTGTGATTGTCCTCTAGGGACCAAAGGGAACCGTTCACACTACCTCTGCCTGGGTTGTGCCTTTAGCGTGAGGAGGCGCTTCAGAAGTGGAAGGGTGTCATAACAATAATCCTTAAAGGAGGAATTCACGATTAGAATGAAGGTCGAAGAAAAGGAATTGACCTAGTTGAGGGACCCACGGACCTCCTGAGGGTGCGAACTGACGCGCAATTCGCATGGAAAAATTTGACCTCGGCGACCTATCATGCCTCAAAGCTGGCGGGTCCGGCGATCTCCGCCCACCGATCATCTGATAGTTCAATACGTGGCGAGTGATTAGATAGCTGAGAGAGCGTAGTGTTGAAGAGGGCACAGCGATGAGAGTCGCATCAATGCTCAAATCGGGCAAGGAAGGGGTCCATTTCTCTCGGGTTCTGGGCCGTTTCTCATGGTTCTTCCTTCTTTCGTGTACCAATCACCATCCCTGAGTTAATTTGAAATGGGTTGCCTTCCCAGCGTGAATTCGTCCTTTAAGGCATCAATTAGGCTGTAAGAAAAGTTCTTGCCGTTTCGATATTTTAGGTTCTGAAGCAATATTTTTGCCAGACTGCTACAATTTGCACGTTATGAGAAAGCGCTGTTTTTGCCCTATCCGACGGTGCTGTCAGCTTTGCTCTGTTGTGCTCACAATCTTCCAAAGCCTTGTCCAAAACACGCTCAACGAACGAATCCGCACGATTTTCTTCTTCGAAGTCAAACTTTGGCAGGAAGTTAGGAGCCTGCTCATAATGTAAAGTGTTTTACGAAATATGCGCAGTGCAGACAAAAACACCGGATTGGTGCGTAGTCTCGCGGCGTTTTTTTTTCAAATGAATTCAATAAATTCCTGAGTAGTATCCACGTTCAACTTTCAATGAATCTCGGCATTTCTTCGCAGCAATGTTAGATTATTCAGCTTGTAACCAAGATTGTTTATAGTATAATAGTTTCTTTGGTTGACGTCTAGGCGTTATCGCCTCCTGCGAAGCCTGGAAGGACAAAAGACATTTGAGAAACTACCCGTATTTCAACCTACAGGAGTCACTCAACAGGATCATAAGCTACTAAGGCGATGCCATAGAACCACCAAGACTATCATTTAGGAAGGTCGTAGGGTCAATCTGTTGCCACGAGCTGGTAGAAATGTAGGCTTAAATAGAAGAGCTCCTGGGACAACTTCCTCAAAGGACCTCTTGAGGTTGATCACGTAGATTAAGCTGCATTGCTACCAGCTCGGGGTGACGGACAACAAGGTCGACGTTCCTAAAGGTTGGTCTTTGTGGATCTATGGCATCGCCTTAGTAGCCTACGATCCCGTTGAGTGACTTCTGTAGGTTGATTCTAGTTTTGTAGTGTGTTGGATGGGTAGTTCCTCAAATGTCTTTTGTTTCCAGACTCCGAAGAAGGCGATAACGCCGAAGCTTCAACCAAATAAATTGTTATTACCAACCTTGGTTACAAGGTATCCAGCATCAATAAGATCCTGTTTTTTACCTGGTTAATTCTTTTTAGAAGTACTCTTTTCGCCCTACAATATTTCTTTACCCATCCTTTCATCAATCTACTATTTATCAGTGGCCAGATAATGAGATTACTCACCATCAGTGTTAAACATGTAGATCATTCGGAGAACTCAGTAGTTACTCGCGGTCTCTATTGAATTCAACAAAAAATTAGATTTTGAAACACCGTTTATTGGTTGAGAACTGATGTTTATTGGTTGCGGGATCGCGTTCTTCCGTAGCCTGGAAATAATCAAAGCAATTTATGACTATACGATCAAACATCTCCGCACCTCGCTAAAACTCGAACCCTTAGCAGGAGCCTAGCCAATTCCGAACTTGTGAACCACCCACAAGCTGTCAGTAACCAGCAGCGGTGATGAACTGTTTTACTTGTACATATTATTGCCTCTGGTGAGGCCCTTTATAGATGAGGCCCTTAATAATGAAAAACAGGACTGCGTTCTAAAAGCTCTGGTGAAGTCCGAGATTTCCAAGGTTTCCAAAACTTTTCGAATGATATGATATCCTTCTTTGCAGAGACTGGAAATGACGTGCCGGAGCTCATTCGTCGGTTGGCTGCTGCCGATGGCGTCCTCATGGCGGTAGCAACTAAATTTTATCTCGCCGACTGTAAGACATTTTCTATTTTTTTATCAGCTATTTTTTTGTGAACGCGATTGGAGTGATGAGCCAGAGAGGGGCACGATCGTGTTTGATAGAATAATGCCTACCAAGATTTTTAGGTTCATTCAAAATCCCTGCATTAGCCTGACTAGATTTCTTACACGCCAGGGTTACCATGACCTCACTTTTCCGTCTGGGGGATGATTTCGGAAGAGCCCTCCAGCATTATTGGAAACTTACATCTTGCTCCAAATCCTGACATCTGAATGTGATGCTGGATGTGGGTCACTAGGACATAAGCAGACGTTTTCGCTTTTCGCAGCGAACGTCTTCAATGCGGGAACGCCAGGTCCATCCATGAGCA